GGTCAGGCTTTGCCTCTCTCCACAGCTCTGGTTTAACTCAGTGTTACCAGATTTACAGTAAATGCATTCCCTAAGGTTCACTAACAAGCTTCAGCAGTGAGCAAAAACTAAGTAGGTGAGATGAGGGAAAGCCAGGGACATGTGAAAAGCCTCAAGTGTTTCTGGATGGCTGCCTGCAGGGGCGACTTCAGTCAAACCTTACTTGCGGAGTCCTCTACCTATGAGCAGTAGCACAACAACAAGGGAAGACTAAGTCAGATCCCATTGGCAGCCCTGAGCTCAGTCCCACATTTTAAGAGAGACACTGATAAAACTGGCCCATTTCTACTGAAAATAATAGCAATGAATAGGATTTATAGTTTAACAAATTGGGGGTGTTTGTTCAGAAAAGACTGGGAGGAACTGACAGCTAGTTCATAACTGAAGGGGTATCATATGGAATAGAAATTAGACTTATCCTTTATTGCCTCTGAGAATAGAACCAGGAGCAATGGTTAGAAGTTAATGGGGAGCATATTTTATCTCAATATGAGAAAATTCTCTAACGATTAGAGCTATTAAATAAATTGAGTTGCCTTGTAAGGCTGTAGGACTCTGCGCCCCCAAAGCATTCGAGTGAAGCTAGATGAGTGCTTGTCATGAATTTAGCAAGGAGTGTTATCACATTGGGAAGTCAGCCCAGGTTACCGCTACAGTTCTTTCCAACTTCCAAAATCCTATGAATATATGTTACCTGTTAGAAGCAAGACACAAAAATAGATTTTACTTTAAAAAAATCAACCTAAAATAGTAGTGTAAGTAGTTTTCTTTTAAAGGGATTTAAATTTATAATGTTTCTCCAGTGCACTCCTTTGTGGACTTGAATATATGTGGTACCTTATTAAATCCAACAAAAGATATTTTGCATGTAAACTTACGAGTGTCATAAGAAAAACCATTCTTCCCAAGAGAATCTTATGAAAACTTTCAAATGCTGGAGAGTTATAGTGTGGGAAGACTTCTACTGCGTGGGATGTTCTGTGCACTACAACAGCAGATGGAGGGGGGCAGTTTCTTTATGGTTTCCCAAGGAGCTGGAGAATGCGTGTGTCAGGAAGGTGGCTGATTGCTCGATTTTGCATAACCTAATTGAGATTATTATTATTTTTAAATGCGGGTTTGTTGTGCTAATTAACTATAAACATATGGTATGTAAAACGCATGCTGCTAGAGTAAATTAATGTACCTCTAACATACATCCATATTTCATAGCTTCATCCACACAAATAAACCTCCTGTGGAAGTGCTGTAAAGCAAACACAATTTTGCAAATTGCCTTTCGCTAGTGCTAGAGCTGATCCACCATGTTCCCATCATTATCCCTGACATCTCACTCACAATGATGATGAGAGGCATTTTCAAACAGAAAATTTCTCCCACAGAACTGATTAATGTGATGAAGTACTGTATAGAAATGAGGGAAAGCACAAAATCTCTGCAATTCCCAACTTTTAATTTGAGCCATGCGCAAATGTCTTCGGCAACACAAGACTGAAAGCAGTTATGTGGAACACTGAGGCAGTAGAACACTGACTTTGTACCCACTATGTTCTGGGCAGAATGCTGGGTCACACTAGCATTTGCACAACTCCCTGAGGACTATGTTCTGGGTCATTTCACGAAGGTCTCAAGACCATGCCTCAGCTCTACCAACCGGCTTCATTGCCACAGTCAGCCTTGTAGTCATAACCTCATATTCTTCGAATGCCAGTTTAATGTTCCCACACAGACCTCATCCTGATTTTCACTCAATACCTACTCAGTCTTTATTAGACACTGAGTTTCAAGAATTTGGTTGCCTTTTCTTTCTTTCTTTCTTTCTTTCTTTCTTTCTTTCTTTCTTTTTTTTTTTCCGAGACAGGTTCTCACTATGTAGCCCTGGCCGTTCTTGAACTCACTATGTAGACCAGGCTGACCTTGAACTCACAGAGACATCTTTTAATATTCAATAAGTTCTCAAAATTCTTATCAAAATAGCTTCTTCTCTACTATAAAAACAAGCTAGAAATGGTTTCCTGCACGGTCTGATTATAAAAGAGGATAGCTTTGATAAATCAAACAGCTCTGCTTTCAACATGTCAGATGTATTTCATGTTAAGACATGAAGAGACACAAGAGAACATTCCAGGAGGGTTAAGATGTGAAACCATCTCACTAGGATGTGATAACCACATGAACATTGCCACTCCCTGACCCAGCTCCTAGCCCTTCATCCTGGGGCAGACATCACTAATCAATCCTGTAAGCTTGCCACATGAGTCTGGCATTCTCTGAACAAATCCTAGGAAGTCACTACTAGAGGTTTCTCAGGCTCAGCACTTCGAGGGAAGCCTGTCTTCCAGGCCTCTACTTTACAGGTGAGGCACACGGAGAACTGCACAAACCAGCTGGTCATACCAGGTCACACGACTCTACAGTCTGTGCTGGGACCCAGACTTCTAACTCTAAATCAGAATTCCCCTCCTTCCTAATCTGCCCTTCAAGAAGTTTCAGTTAGGTTGCTCGGTTTCGGACAACTATTTTTTTGCCTGCTTATCAAGTACTTTATCATTGAAGTCCACGTGATTTTTATATTTCATGAAGATTTGTAGCATTTGAGGCATCCACTTATCCGAAAAGTTTCCTCCCTGCCCCTAAAAAGATTCAGTGATTATGGTTTTGTTGTTGTTTTTACTTTTTTGCTACATTGTGGCTTGAAGTCTTACTGTGACTTTGGTGACTTTGGGTTGGAGATATGTGGAACGATCTGTAATGGAGGACAGGAGACATACAGCTTTTGTTTGATTTAGATTTGTCTGTGGTACTGGGAATTGAACCTGGGGCCTCAGGCATGCTTTTTTTGTTTTACAGATCTTCTTGTCATTCTTCTTCTCAGCAGTTGTCTTGTGTTTTATCAAAAACACTGCTTTGCTCCCACTCAGATATACACATGATCTAACCTGAAATTTTTCTTTTCAATAACATAGTAAACTGTACAATTACTTCCAGTAAGCTTAGGCTGTCAACTATTCCCCAAAGCCCTTCCTAATGACATAGGCAGGCTAAGAAAGTGACATGTAAACAGCAAGTCTACATTGACATAATTCGCCTACCCTATTAAAGAGTTGCCCTGGTTTGTCCCACCACCATTTCAAATTCTTGCCACTTGTCTATATGCAGATGCAACCATCTTCCAGGAGACCTATGCTATCCAATCTTAAGTTCTCAGATGCACACACACACACACACACACACACACACACACACACACACACAGCGGACTGAGAAAAAGTTCTGCCTACCTCGAGACTACCAGCATTATCACCAAGCTGACAAAGACAGCCTGGACTGTACAAGTGTAGAGACTGGCTACACCTTTTCATACATTACCTCAGGAGACATATCTGTTTTAGTTGCTATTACTACTAGTGCTATCACCATCATCATATTCATTTAACAGATAGGGAGAGCTTCAGAGAGGCTAAACAGCTGAGCCAACACTAAGACCCAGATCGTCTCAACACTAGTCTATGCTCTTTTTATTCAATCATTTGAAATATATGGGACACCTACTGTGTGCCAACCATCACACGAGGGCACCACCTCCCTCCAAAGGCGCAGGTGCCACTGAGACTGGAACCAGTTTAGTTATCGAACATCTTTAGATCAAGTCAGCTGCTTCTGCATTGCAAATGTCAATTCTAGAAGCAACCTTCCCTCAAACAAGAAACAAAACCTCCCAGCTTAAAAAGGAGGTACACAGCTGTGGAGGGAATCATGATGTAGGCAAGTCAAGGTTGAAATGGCTTACACTACCCATGCTTGGAAAGTACCCTGTTAATATGGCTCAAAGCCATATAAATGCCCATCACACCTGAGAAAATAATCTAGCTTTCAAAATCTGTACTATGGAAGCTATGGAAAAATTCTATACATTAGAAATGCTTATATCAGTTTCATGTACAGTACCTTAAAGACAGACGAAACAAAAGAAAGAAGGAAATGACAGCTCAGCCAGCTGGGGAAGTAACTGGAAATTATTACATAAAGATTATGTAGCTACCTTTAAAAGTATGTACTTATAAGAACTGAGAAGAATTCCAAAAAGTCTTTTAAAACTGGCTGGAAATGTTTGGTTCTTAGCACTGAAAACAAACCAAATTAAGTGAAAAATAAAAGTCATGACTTTTGCTTTCTGTGCCGCCATTGCAGGTACAGTCGCCCCTCACTTTGGGTAACTATCACTCCTTCAACATAATTGTCACGATGACATATGCCTTTGAGAGTACACAGATGAGAGCAAGTCCTATCTTTCAACAGCTGGTAAAGATGTTTACAATTTAATGGCTGAAAATTTTTAGTCAGTCAATTATTCAGACACTCAAAAGGAAAACTGCCTTTGCAAAAAGAAGGAACAGTGCTAACTTGGTGACCACCCTGAGTAATGATGACAACAAAGTTAACTTTAGAACCCAAGGAAAGAAATAAGTTGAGGGGCAGAGTAGAACAACCTGGGCCTTAGGCTATATTTAATCTATGGCAGTGCCAGGGAGGATGCTCACTCCAGTGGGCCAGCCCACTCACACACAGCCATCTCTGCTTCTCGAGATACCCCACTACTGATAGTGTGCCCCTTTAAAGCTCTCAGCATCCTTGAGTGACACATAGAGAGGACACATGACTTTCCATCAACCAGAAAAGGAGATTTACTTCCTATAACCTGTGAGCAGAGCAAATCAGCATTCACATTGATGGTCCTGGAGGCTGGGGCTGATGAAAGAATAGATTGGTTGATCTAAAACCCTAGCTGCATTTTGTAATCACCTGGGACACTTGGGAAAGTATTTTCTCTTGGGGATTTACTCTCTGATTCTCTCATTTTGTTTGACAAGGGTAGTTTTGGGGTTTTTGTTTGTTTGTTTGTTTATTTTGGCGGGGTTGAGTGTGTATACTCAAGAATCTAGTTTTTTAGCAAGTACCCTAGAAGTTGCAGGCACTGGGAACCAGGGACTAGCTTATACACAGTATAATTTAGTTGTCGACACAGTTCAAAACACTTTAATTTACTAAAATCAAAGGCTAGTCTTATCAGAATATTCCAACAGCACATCCATTCCCCAACCATGCCAGAAGACACAGTGCTACTATACCTGGTAATCCAGCATGTGGAAGCTTGGGAAAAACTGACAAATCCTCGACTCAAAAAAATAGGGGAAAATCCAGAAAATGGGCAGTTCTTTGTGACTGTCATCTAACGGATCACACAGAAAAAGGAAATAAATGGATAAATAAAAGAAAATATGAAATAGATTCTAAAAACAACCCAAAAGTTTCAGTAGAAATTTCAGTTGTTCAATACATGTACCTGTCATACAGAGAATGCTTATGGCAGTGCCAGTCCACCTTGACCAAAGGTTAATGGAAATATTACATACTAAAACAATGCACAGACTTTATTGTTCTGATTAGCGATCTTTAAGAGCAACAAATAGTAAGTGATGTTTAACAATGAACCATGTTCCAGAATTCCTCTAAATTCTGTCCCTGAAGCACACTACTTACATAGCTCAGTTAGTGGAGAAGCCTGACCACATGCTTCTGTACACCCTTGTAATTTATCAGCTCACAGGCTAGAAGCTGTATCTAAAACTGAATGTACTGACTAATGGAATAATTGAATGAAACACTTTGAAGTCTCAAGACAATTCCAATTGAGAAAATTTCCCCACTTGTTAACCCACCTCTAGAATTGGAAGTCTGTGTGTCTTGTTACTGTTGACTGCCACTGGCCTACTGGGTGTCCAACCTCCACATAAATCATGGTGAAATTCAAGACTCTGGGCCTGAGGTTGGATAATGTCCTAGTTAGCTATTTTGTCAGCTTGGCATAAGCTAAGGTCATTTGGAAAGAGGGAACCTCAGTTGAGTAAATGTCTCCATCAGATTGGCCAGTGGGGTATTTCCCTGGTTAATGACTGGTCACGGATTTTATCACAGTAATAGAAAGACTTTGGGGACAGGAAATGTAAGAGCACAGAGCTCATGCATCTATTCTTAGTATCTAAACAGCACCTGCACACAATGTACTCACGGAGCATTCTTTGAACAAATGACAGTAGTTCGCCATTGTGCTTCACAATACTTCATAATCTTACAACTCCATAATCTTACTGAGAAACCATTTTAAAAACATGAGTAGGGTAAGAGGAAGTGTCCCATGATCATGAAGTTTGCCATGATCAAATCAACATGCTTTTAAAAATAGCCTGAGAGCTGCATATTCCATCAGTGCTGGGCTTGACTAGTATTGGCAGGAAACAGATACATAAATAAACACATACTCCTTTTTTTGCAGTAATTAAAAAAAAAAAAAGTACCTTGGCTTTGACCTTCTTTCCACATAGCAATTAACTTCTTGAATGTAATAGCCAGAGGTTCAACCAAGCCACCAAAAGGAGGGTCTGTCACCATAATCACCCCTTCACCTTCCTCTTCCTGTAAGAATGCCCTGCACACTTCAAGGGCAGCCTGTAACAAATAAAACGTCATTTCTAAATTAGAGCCAGAGAGTGGCCTTTTATCCTACTGGGAGAGTGCATTAAGCTTGGTCTCTGTCAGGACTGGAAACATCACCAAGTCACCCTGCCACTGTGGAGTCCCTCACTGACATCCAGAGTCTCTCTTAGTCATTCACGTCAGATTTTATCTTTGGGTTCCTTGATAAGCAGGTTTTTAAATTACAAATTCAAATACCATCACTATCAGACAACTACACATTTCAAATAGTTAAATTAAAAAAGCTAAATTTAGTAACCCCAAAAAGAGAAAGCCGTCAGCCGTGAAAACAACCTACACATTCAATTCAACAAACAGGAGCAGAGGCAGTGCTGAGCCTCACTCGAGGACTGTGGGTTTTGCTGTCTATCTTGTCTACTGCCACAAGTTCTGCTTAATAACTGCTTCGAGTCAGCAGGTAAGCACGCACACACTTCTGAGTACTAGGTAAGCAGTAGACATATTTGAGCATGCAGAGCAAGTAAATAAAGTCTACAAATGGCAAAACCCATCTGGTTCTGGAAACTGTGCCAATAACACACTTTCCCACCAGGCTGCTAGTGTTTCTTTCCAGTAGCTGCCAAACTAGCAACAGCTAAGAGATTTATCAGTTTGTGCTTTGAGTGCAGTTAAGAGCTGCATCTATCATAGTATCACTAGTATTAGTATTCAGGCATCTGTACTGGCCTGCACTTGGGGTTCTGACAGGATGCATCCTCAGAAAAGCACCCCCTGTGCACACTGGCTGTGCTGCATTCTCTCTCTCCTTTTCTCCCCTACCCCCTCTCTACCTCTCTTTCCTCACTCCTCCCCCCCTTTCCCATTCCAATCCCCCAATAAAAAACTCTCCACTGGGCTGGAGAGATGGCTCAGAGGTTAAGAGCACTGGCTGTTCTTCTGGAGGTCCTGAGTTCAATTCCCAGCAACCACATGGTGGCTCACAACCATCCATTATAAGATCTGGTGCCCTCTTCTGGTGTGCAGATATACATGGAAGCAGAATGTTGTATACATAATAAATAAATAAAATCTTTAAAAGAGAGAGAGAGAGAAACTGTCTTGGGGGAAATATCTAACAAATCTGTCTACAATAAAAAAAAAAAAGGTAGGTGTAAAAAAAAACTCTCCACTGGAGCTCTGTCGAATGATGGCGTGTCTCTCTCTTGTCTGCTGTTTTTGTAAACAACTGGTTTGCTGACTTAGTAGTAGTTTGCAAGTCAACACCTTAAGCATTCAAAAAGCACATACTTTTAAAGTTATGTGGAACTTTATAAACTTTACTTGGTTCACTAAGGCAGCATCAAGGTACAAACCTACTTCCTTACCCATTACCCTAACTCACACCTCCCTGCTCCCCCCACCCCCCTAACAGTTTCAAATGGTTAGGCCAACCACTGCACATCAGTATCCCATCAGCCACACCAGCACAGCACTTTTAGGTCTCACTCCTCAGTCTATCCTATGTTCTTCAGAGCAGTCCACAGAGCAAGCTGGCCTTGACTTCCATCTGGACATGGTTGCAGACTCCTCCCGCCCCCCAACTCATTTCCTCCACTATCCTTGATGAGAAATGCTGCTGGCCTCATCTACTGCCAGGTGGCTTCAGCTCTCATCCTCCTTTACACAGACCTAGTGGGTTCTCAAAAGCAGAGATTCCAACTGATATCCTCTGGGAAACAGTGGCACACACCTAACTCTAACTGCTGTTCACCTGGATCCTGGGATGTGGAGGATCTCTCATCTTGTGGATGAGATACAACCCATGACAAACTGATCCCACTGGATGGAAAACTATGCTCACTACATCACAGGACTCATGTTTCAACCCTAACCAGTAACTTAGTATTTGTGTTCACTTCCTGAAAGCCCTGTTTTCATCTTGTTTGGTTTTCATTGCATCACTAGTTAATATCTCAGAGGACAATAGACAGTTAAGCATGAGTCCCAGTTTTAAGAGGACTGATTGACAATATACCTCCAGGGATGCTTCAAACTGTTGTTGATAATCTGCAAACACCTCTGAACAACCTCCTGTCAGGTGTGACTATTTGGTTAGCTATAGATTTGACTCAAGGACTAACGAGATCTTCAGCTAGGAACAGTCAGGTAGGTAGATACGATTCATTTCTCTCAGTGATGTTTCTAACATCACCTTGAAAGCTGCTTTTTTTCCTTCTCCCAAATAACTTTCTTCTTTGTTAGAGTTTATTTGCTTAGATTTATTTATTTATTTATTTTTGGATTGTGGCCTTGGCTACTTGGAACTTGCTATATAGACCAGGTTAGCTTCAAACTCAGAGATCTGCCTGCCGCTGCCTCCTGAGTGCTAGGATTAAAGGTATGAGCCAGCACACCCAGCTCTTACTTATTTTTCTTAATAACATCTTTAGATTCTTGGAAAAGCAAGAGAAAGACACAGAGTTCACATACAGTCTCTGCCTGAAATATGCATTTAATTACAGTATGGTAGAAAACAAAGGAGAATGAGCCCTTGCTAGAGGTTCAGGGGAGGCTGGAGGAAGTGATTTGGAACACAGCTCTGAAAGTCATCAAAGCAAAGAAGCCACTGGACTAGTTGAAGGTCCAGTATCCTAAACACAAACAGCAAGGCTGAGGACAAGGACAGGTGAGGCAGGAAAGGTTAACAGAAGTCAGAACACAAGAAGCCCTGTGTGCCTTGCCAAGTGTGGGGCACTCAGGTATAACTCTAACACTTGGAAGGTAGAGGCAGAAAGACTCCTTTAGGTCTGAGGCCAAGCTAACATATTGTACATACTATTGTACATAGTGAGTGGCAGGCTAGGCAGACTATACAGTGGGATCCTGTCTGAAGAAAAACAATAAAAACAGAACAAAGATTCTATTCTAGTTGCTCACTCAATAAATAGCCAGTGGAGACTGACATAAGTCAGTAGTAGAGCACTTGCCTAGCACACAGAGCCCTAAATTCAATCCCCAGTACCACTAGACAAAACAGGAAAAATACACTAAAAAATAGTTAAAAAATAAAAACAACAAAAAGGTACTCTTGAATCTGTTAATCAGTAATAACAGAAGAAAGAGATAATGGTCATAAATCTTACCTTTCCATCAAAGAAATGATGGTTGAACATGTTATAGCGGCAAAAGCTATCTTCCAGGTAAAACTGCGAATATCTGTAAAATAATTCATTACCAAGTGATGGGCCCAGGCACATAATACAGTAAATAAACAAATACGAAAGTATATTTTTAAACTCCAAAATTATATTTTGATTAAATAAACCCCATCATCCTTTAAGAAAAAAAATAAGAAATCTTTACAAAAACTTAAGTGCATCTGTAATAGTACATATTGAATTTATTTTCCCAAGTAGGCCAGTAGCAAACCCAAAGAATAATCATACATAAAAGATACAGGTTCCAAGAAGGCTGATGGTACAGACCTTTAAGCCCAGTTATTGGGGAAATTGAGGAAGGAGGACTGCAAGTTCAAAGTCAGCCTGGGCTACAGAGTTCAAGGGCATATGCCTAATTAATATTCCTAAGGTCCTATGTTCAACTCTCTGAACTACAAAACCAGCAGACTAAAGACACATTTTCTTATGGACCAGAACACCACACAAATAACTGGGCTAGACATATTACCCAACTTAAGTTTATAGTGTGTTTATAATTAAAATACATATTTCACTGTTAATAGTTTCTTACATCTTATGTTTATTTTTAGTTATCTGTATATGTGTGAATCTATGTGTGGGTTTGTGTACATGAGTGCAAGATGCCTGCAGAGGCAGACGGTGTCTAGCCTCTGTAGCTAGCATTATAGGTGTGTGTGAGGTGCCTGATGTGGATCCTCAGCAAGAGCAGTATGTGTTCTTCTAAGCCATCTCTCCAGTCCCTCAGGGTTAATAAATTTAAGGAAATATTAAGTCAATATTTCTGCTTAACAACTATTATTTCTCCTATGATTAACAACAACAACAACAAAATCTAATGCTAAACTTTTCCTTGTCTAATGCAAATTAATTTATTAAAATATATTTCTCAATATACTATTGAAAGAAGTATGAGCTTTTAGGGTTTGCTGAATTTGTGTCAGGAGAGAAGCATATTTATTTACTGAATGAATTACTCTATTCTACCCACTACTATAAAACAGCATCAAAAATGAATCAGAGTACCAGCTTTGGGAATTAACATTTTATAATTTTTTTTTCTACTAATTTGTTAAGAAAACCTCATACTGCATAACTGCTTAAGTTTATATTTACTTAATTATGTGGAAGACTGAATCTTGTTTCCCAGCTGAACTATCTGTTGCCTCATTTGTATACCTGGTTCTTGCTGTCTTCACTGTTGTCTCCTGAGTTTTGCACACAGAAACTTTTGATAATTCAAAAATTCTTGAGCTTTTTCTATCTTATTATGAATAATTCACATATGGACCATGCCAGCCTTGTTGGAAAGACTGAAGAAAAAATAAAAATAAAAAATCAGGAATACAGTCTGACTTCTACAACCTCTGGTAAAAACCGTGGTGGTGACAATGCTTGGAAGGCAACTCCCTTGATGTATGTAGAGGATTGGCCACCCAGGGTGAGTGTTTCTTACAGTGGGCAGCTCTGGTTTAGCCACTTCTGACTTACACTGTGGTAAGAGCGCAGGCTCCGTGGTCACAAGGTCTGGTCCAAGCTCTCCATCCTTTGAGTACTATGTCACATTAGGAAGTAAATCATTCAACCTTTCTGAGCCTGTTTCCTCATCAACAAAATATGAAAAACAAGTTTCCCAGGACTTCACAGAGCTAGTAAGAATGGTACATAGCACACACTAAAGTGTGTATTTGTTTTAATAAATATTAGCCATAAAGACTTTTGTTTTAATGTCACCAATACTAGAAAATCATGTTTTTAGTCACCATATCATAATCTAAATCCATTTCTCCTTGCTCTGTGGAGAGGAAATAACAGCTGTTCACCATTCCTTAATGTTATTTAAGATGCAGTCAGCATATCTGCTGGTTTCATAAAATATTAATTTGCACTGAAGAAGTAAATAAAGGCTTGGGTACCTTAGGAACAGTCAAACCACATATTGAGCTTAACGGTCATTCACAAACTGTGGGGCAAAGACAATTACTATCAATAAATAAACATCCTCCAGTTTAATTAAATTTCAAGGTCCCCGTCCCCCTCCCCACAAAGGATCTTCTTTGTTTGTTTGTTTTCATCTTCTTAGACAGGATGACATTCTATAACTCAGGCTGCCCTGGAACTCACTGTAGCCCAGGCTAGCCTTGAACTCAGAGGTCCTCCTACTTCAGACTCCAAAGTGATAGGATTATACTGATATACCACCATGCTCTATTTTTTAATCAATACTAATACAGACAGCTGTTGGACTACTATCATTTGAGGGTGTTCTGTCTTTAAAAAAGGAAAACACAATCCCCTTTCAATTTACAGTCTCTCTCTCTTTTTTTATTGCTTCACAAAGGCAGAGTAACTTTTAAAAATTAAAAAGAGGATTTGATTTACATAAACTCCAGCACACCACACCTGTCCAAAGTGTTCTGGGCAGCAGTGTGCTAAGCCAGAGGGGGGAATGGCCAAGATTTCAGTTCTAAGTTTCCATCACATAAACAAGAGAACATAATTATTCATATTTTAAATTATATAAAAAAATCACCCAACATTGCCCTCTTAAAATGAAATTTGCCACAAAGAATTATTCTCTCCACTGAACAAGGCAAACAAAACCAATCAGAAAAGCATACACTTGAAAGCTGCTCAAAAGGACATGCGCTTAATTTGGCCATTCATTCTCTTCAAATGAGAGCCAGTCACCAAGTGTGAAGCACACATTTCCACAGGAAATGTAATCAAGAGCTGAATAAAATTACTTCATAAATGAACCTAAGAAATTCATTTTTTGCTCTAACTTTATTTGGATAATAGTTTGCCAAATAGAGTCTCACATCTTTCATGCTAAAATTAGAGTGTATAGAAACCATCTTAGCAAATGTTAACTTCACATCACTCGGCCCTGACTATCTATAGCCCACAACAGAAAACACTGCTGTTGAGGTACTTGTACAGCCTTAGACAGGCCTTTTGTGGGGCAACAGGAAACTGCTGTACCTTCAACTTGTGACAATCCTGCTTCAGCCTCCTAAGTGGTAGGATTACAGGCATGAGCCATCAGGCCGGCTATCAACATTTCTTGTGGGAGCTACCAATGTGACCTATGAGAATTACCTTCCAAGTTCATACCCTCCCACCAAGGGCCTCCCATCAGGTCCCAACTAACCCTAAAGGTTCTACTACCTGACAACTGGAGGACACTGGAAAGCAAGCCCATAACACATGTACCACTGGAAAAATTGCAGTGTAAATAAAACATGCATAATCCACACTTTGGAATATTATTTATATGTGCAAAAGAGGTGTACTGGTACATGCTCCCACATGGATGGACTTTGAAAGGCTGCCTACTCTATGACCCCTTGTACAGAGATACAGGAACAGGCAAACTTATAAAGAAGGTGGAAAGTGATGGCCAAAGGCTGGGGTCAGGGAGCTAATGCTCACTGGGAGAGAGTTTCTTTTCTAAGACAGTGATATGATACCATAATCTTATGAACATACCTGGGAGCATTGTTTTGTGTGTGTGTGAAATATATCTCAATTCAAAAGAAACACACCTGAAATACAGCAAATGGGAAAAACACTATTGTGAACCTATTTTTAAAAATGTTAAAAGACTGGAAAAAAACAAAAATCTGGATTTGAGGTAGCAGGATCTACAACCACTTTCTTTTACAAAACACACCTGAGATCCTTGCCCTCTGAGACGTTCCTCAGGCGATAGAGTGTGGTTTTTCCAGTCCCTCTCTGCCTGAGTTATTCCACAGCTACTGTCACAGAGCTCTTGGATGAAGTCAGAGTTAAGTAAAGTGTGTAAACTCAAGGAGATCCCTGCTACTGAGTGCTGGGATGGTACCATTCCTGCTGAAGGAGAACCAGCCCAGGAAGGAAACCACAGCCTTTGTCTCGAATGATTCGGTTGCAGGCACCAGCTCGTTCTCTTTCTAGCACTTCTGTCTCCCCTTCTCAGTCATGTTTTCATCCTGTATAGAGCATATTCCATCCGCCAGGGCAGAGCTACCCACAGTGATGGCTTCTAGAATGGGAATTGGCACATGGCTCCATCAAGCTAATCAGAGCATTCTTGGAGTTCTGTCACCAAAGGGAAAGATCACCTCTTTCTACTGTTGGGTAAGCAGGGGCAAGGTAAGTTTAAAACTGCTGCCATCCAAGTTCCCCAGAAGTGTGAAGGAAGTTAAAGGATCTCATCTAATGATAAAAGGCAATACACAGAGATGAAAGTTTAACAACATAGTGTGAGGCCCAGACAGCAAAGCTGGAGGTGGCCTGGACTTCAGGCAAGAGATGCTTTACACATAAACAGATTGCTGGGACGCCAATGAAGAGCTTGCAACCACTAAGAGTGTCTTATACTGAATATATTATTAACTTGGTAGAAGTTACTACTTCACATGAAAACCTTCATGGAACAAGGCAAGACAGTAGGAGGAATGCAGAGAGGGAAGGCTGCCAAAGGAGAAAGGGGCAGCCTAAGAAAGGCTGATCTACAAATTCAGAAGGATGAGGAGTTCCACTTGGAGCTGAGAATGCCTAGCTTTGAATTCTGGTTTGGTCACTTACAAACTAAGATTCTAGCTAAGTCACTTCACCTCTTTGTACCTCAGTTTTTCATATGGAAAACAAGAATGATTGCACCACCTACTATATAGGGCTATTATGAGGAATGACTTATACAATACATGACACAGCCCAAGAACTTAAAAATACTAAGTACTGTTGATACCTGATAAAAATCCCAATGTTAAACTTCTACATATAAAAAATGTATTTATAGTGACTGATACTTTAGAAAAGAATGGAATACAGAGTTTTTAAAAAGAAATTGATGTCTCTATATAATGGATATTAAACAGTCTCAAAAAGAAAGGAAATGTGGTTGTATACCATATGTATAAACCTTGCAAACACAATGTTAACTAAAAGCGAGACACAAGGTCACATATTCAATGGGTCCATTTGCATAAAAATGTCCAGACCAGGCAAACCCATGGAGCCAGAAAGTGGCTGTCAGGAGCAGTGATCAGGAAGTTTCTTTTATGTGTGATGGGGACGTTCTAACACAAGCACAGTGGATCACACCTGTAATCCCAGCACCTGAGAGGCAGAGCTAGAGTTTAAGGCCATGCATACAAGGCCAGAGTGGACTATGTGAGACCCTATATCAAAACCCCCCAAATAAAGAAATAGATAAAATGTCCTGAGTAGACGGTACTGACCACACAGTGGAAACTAGTTTAACACACACCTCAAACTGTTAAATAATTACATCTCAATTTAAAAATACAGTTGAGGGCTGGAGAGATGGCTCAGCTGGGAACCAAGTTCAGTTCCCAGCACCACATCAGGTGGCTCACAACCACCTGTGACTCCAGGTCTGAGAGGCCTGACCATGCCCTCTTTGTGCTCTGAGGGCACCTGTACTCACATGCACATATCCACACACAGACACACAGACACCTAATTTTAAATAAATCTTTATAAAGGAAATCTGTATTAGCACTTTGGGAAGGATCACTCCTATTAATCACAGACATGTTCTGTCAACAAGGCATAAATAGTTAATGGGCCAGTCCTGTTCCTATGGCTACCAGAGTTGGATGAAGAACCAGAAACTGCTGCTGTAAACAGCATAAAGTTGACTCGGAAGTATAAGAAAAATACATTATAAACTTTGTACTTTTGGAGGTGACAGGTGTGTGGGTATGTGAAGAAGTCAGGGGTGAACATTGGCAATCTTCCTCAATCATTTCTCCACTTTTTTGAGAAATGGTCTCCTCCATCTAGAGCTCACCTTTTCAGCGAGGCTGGCTGGCCAGCAAGCCCTCACAGAGCCAGGGTTAACAGTTCATTCCGTCACACCCACCTTTCACCTGAACTTAGGTCCTCATGTATGCGTACCACCCATTTCCCAGTCTTTACCTTGCACATTCTTCCCAGCCCCAAAGCTGGGCTGTTTCACGTGACAGTTTACACTTTAAGAATCTGCTTTGGGCTGGGTGGTGGTGGCACACGCCCTTAGTCCCAGCACTCAGGAGGCAGAAGCAGGAGGATCTCTGTGAGTTTGAGACCTGCCTGGTCTACAAGAGCTAGTTCCAGGACAGCCTCCAAAGCCACAGAGAAACCCTGTCTCGGAAGAAAAAAAAAAAAAAAAAAGAAAGAAAAAAAAAAAAAGAAAAAAGGATCTGCTTTGGAGGCTGGAGAGATGGCTCAGTGGTTAAGAGCACTAACTGCTCTTCCAGAAGGCCCGAGTTCAATTCCCAGCACCCACATGGCAGCTTCCAACTGTCTGTAACTCCAGTTCCAGAGGATCTGACACCCTCACACAGACATACATGTAGGCCAAACACTAATATACATGAAATAAAAATAAAATGTAAAAAGACTCTGCTTTGGGGCTGCACAGATTGTCAAGTGTTTAAGAGCACTTGTTGCTCTTACAGAGGACCCAGGTTCAGTTCCCAGCATCCACATGGTGGCCCACAACTACCCTTAAATCCAGTTCCAGGGGATCCAATGCTCTTTTCTGACTTCCATGAGTACCAAGCACACATATGGTGTCCCATATTACATGCAGGTAAAACACTTATACATACAAATAATTTTTCTAAGCCTGCCTTATTTACAAGGAAAGAAAGCACATTTAATGTCACATATTGTAACAAATACTATAGCACTGACCACACAGACACTATCAGATCTAAATGAAAGACACAAAGCCTGATCCCTTTAATATATTCAACAATATATAAAAGTTTCTAAGAATAATTGTCTCATAAAGTCTCTATGAGGTAGCACTCAAACCCTGATAAAAAACCAAGAGGAACATTTCAACTCTGCACACTCAGGCAGTTGATGGATACTTGTACCATTTACACCACACGTCAGCACTGGAGGTGCATCCCAACAGAAGCACCATCCAGTTCTCACACACAGTGATCTCCCACCAACATACCTGCTTTCTAACCCTCAGTCTAAGACCTGCCCATTCCAAGTTAGCACTCCCTCCCTCCACTTCTGCTGCCCCTGGGAAGCAGTGTGCACATCATCTGGTAAGACGGTATTTTTAAAATACCTCATCACATGACCAAGATCTGAAGATGAAACAAAGAACCAGCAATCTGACCACAATGAGGCAGTTCAGTTTACCTGGCGTGCATTAGAAAAGACTGCATTTAGGAGGGATCATCTCTAATTCTATGTCACACACAAGGAGACACAGTGATGCACAGTAGCCAAAAAGAGAAACCAACTGCCAGCTTATTTGAGATCTCAAAGGGTGTGTGTGTGTGTGTGTGTGTGTGTGTGTGTGTGTGTGTGTTGACGCTGCATGACCAACAAGGTGCTCACAACCTATGATTACTGAATGTTAGTTAAAGACTATGACAGGTTATGAATGGCTAAGGAGAGAAAAACACAGAAAGAAATGAGACAATAAAGAAGAGATATTATATTATAAACCTACCGAAAATCAATATCCAATAAAAGGCTTTTTGTGTTGGACTTCTCACCTGGTGCTGTCAGTCTGATCTGCTCGTGTAGCCTGAAGCAAGTAATGAAAGCAAAGTTAGTAAGAAACTACAAATGCCACCGTCAATCAGCAAACAAAACCCATTGCTCTTCTCTCCACTCAGATATTTCCATGAAACACTGCAGAGAATCTGGCCCTGCTTAGTTTGGCAGATACTATTTAAAGGGCAGAACTTAACAGAGAAATCTAACATAAAAAAATTCAATCTCAGATCAGAAAGTGTCCATGCTACATCAAGGCTTCTCTCAAATGGGATATGGGCTGCAAACTCTTTGAGAGACCATACTTCCCATTTCCTCTTAACATCCAGAGCTTCAGGCCTCACTCTACACACAGTACAGACCAGCTTCATAAAAATGTCTGTAAGTGTATAGTGCTGCAAGAAGAACATTCTAAAGTGAACCATACCTTGGTGTTCCAACACACAGTACTCTTCTAAATCCGAGAGTAGCAAGGAGGCCTGCCAGAAACTGGCAGCTCCTGTCAGCAAACAGGTACTGAGCGTGTGTCTTCTTGTTCTCCAGTGGGTAGAGCAGCTGACTGGGCCTTCGGAGCTGGGTGATGGAGATGTCAGACAACAGCTGGTGCTCACCATGCTCCCTCCAATCTGAAGGTAACAGCAATTGCTGGCAACTTTGACAGAACTTTCTTTGAGTCAAGGGCAACTGAACAAAACTCAGGTACCTTCAAGAAACAACAAAGTACACGGGGAGTGCGTTTTAACTTTGTTTTTGTTTTTGTTTATTAAGACAATGTACTTTGCTATTTTTATTTTCCACAAAATATTCTTACTTTCCAAAGAGTATTGCATAAAGAAGCAAAAATAAGAAAAAGGATCTATGGAATGTGGGCTTGAATTTATGTCTGGCTGTATACCTACAAAGTGGAAAAGAGTCAGCAATTTCATAAGAATTGAGATGCTCCAATTTAGTCACTGAATGAAGATCAATATCCATTTAAAATGTGAATATAATATATTACTCAAACAATTTAGTAGTAATGGCAACTACTAGCACATTTAAATTTATTGACAAATCCATGTGCTCTAACTTTGACATGTTAAACAGTCTGGCTCAGTTGGCAGTCATTTTAAAATGAGAAATCAAAATCATTCTTCAAGTTCTTATGACATATTTAGCAAGAAAAATTACCTCCTAAAAGGAAAGATGTTCCGACTGAGCTCTCTGCTCTTAGCAATACAGACACAGGCTATGAGCAGCCCCTCTCCAGGCCAGCAAGGCAGTACCAAGAGCCTTTAAAAGGACTATTCCAAGCCAGGTGTGGCAGCATGCATCTGCAACCCCAGCACCCATAAACTGAAACAGGAAGATCATGAGTCCCAGGTCAGTCTGGACTAAGTGGTAAAACAGCCTAAAAAAAACTGAGTCAGTATTGGATAGCCCATTTGTTTGCTTTCAGACCTGATTTCAGAGTTACCACATCTCAACCTATTTTCTTTGTTTTCAATGTATTAAAAACTACTGAAGAAAACACAGTCATTATGTCTTAAAGGTTGACAGTTTTTATGTATGTGACACTAGTTACAGAATCAGAGTAAGAACACAAAAGGAAAGAAATGAGCCCACTGAGGACAGACGGGAGCAGAAGTGTGTAAGCGCAAGCATGGCACACAGCACTGTGCTACAGGGTTCCTGCAGTCTGCCAAGTCAACAGGTTCAGTCCAACTAATGTTGGGAGCTGCACGGGAGAAGTTGTAAAAAAGGAATCCAGAGCATCAGAACTTTTTCTAAGCAGTTTCACTTCAGAGGCCCCAAGACAGTGACAAATATTCTAAACTGTTCCAGCAACAGATCAGCTGCCTGCCTACAACTGAAATGTCTTTTGCCCCATAAATGCTCCTCTGTCAGCTTTATTCATGACTACAAAGAAAAAAGAGAAGATGAGGAAACTTCATAGTGACACACAGTAAGGTCAGCAAGGAAGGACCCCAAGACACAGATGGCCAGAGGGAAGATTAGCAGAGCCTTCAGCAGCTCTGATGCCCAATCACCACCCAGTGATGGACTCACTGAGTCTACACTTAACCATTCCGACCCTCAAAAACCTACAAAACACACAAAATAAGTTTCAGATACTGTACAACTGGTCACTCAAAAAACAGTGACTGAAGGGAACAGAGGAAGAGAGTGGGCAGCTGGCCACACACCGCTTGGAAGGAATGAGTGGATCATGACTGACATATCCACACGGACCCCAAAAGAGCTTTGTACCAAAACCAGAGCAGGAAAACCTCCTGTGTCTAAATCCTGAGGACAGCACTCAGAAAGGCCCTATCTCAGTGGGGTGCTGGAAAGATGGCACTATAATAGTGAGAGCAGATCTGAAAGCATGAGGACGGGACTCAAATCTCCAGCATCTATGTGAAAAGCTGAGCATGTCTACACATGCTAATAACTCTAGCACTGAGGGGGCGGGGGAGCAGAAAAGACAGGCAGAACCCTTATGAAAGTGGCTAAGAAGGAATCAACTTCCCTAGCCTTAGAAAGCTTATCTCAGGAAACCCCAAGGCTGACATCTTACTGAGTGAAGACTCGATGCTGTCCCCCTAAGCTTGAAGCAAGGTATTCTTAGATTTCATCTGCTAGACTTTCCAGCCAACCTAATTAGACAAAATAATAAATGGACAGGGAAGGGAACATTAAAATGTCTTTAATCACAATCAACATTGTCATGTATGCATAATGTCCTAAGAAAATCTTCAGAAAGGCTGCTGAATTAGTAAGCAAACATATCCAGGTTGCCGAGCAAACACTAATGTGGAAAATCAACTGTACTGTTACAGACTACAAGGTCATGGGGTTAGTCTCCAGTGCAGCCAAAAATAAAGAAAGGTAACAAAACGAACAGGTAGGGAAGAATTAAACACATATCTTGGTTTGTCCCACATGAGCTTCAATGAGGGTGGTTCCACAGCACTATGCACTAAGCAATGATCAGATTCTATGACCCTTCCTAAGTTCTAGGCAATAGTCATCAATTACTGCTAAACATCAACAGCTGAAAGGCTGGTAGATTTTACATAGGCTAGCTAATATTGATTTTAATGTCATAAAAGTGAACAACTAACCAGTCTGCCTTATAAAACACAAAATGAAGTATAAGTAGGAAGGCTAATCTAAAAGAAATCATCCAAAAGAGGTGGCTGTAGACACTTCGAGCAAGGAAAGTTCTTTTCAAAGCCTCAGGACTATTTGCTTCCACTGCCACAGACAGATCTTTTAAATAAATGTAATTCACATGCCGCACAATTCACCATTGGGTACAAGTCAATGGTAGACAGGGTATTTACAAAGTCATGCTACACTGCCGTAGCCTAATTCCAGATCATTTTATCACCACCAAAAGAAACCTCACCGCATTTGCCGTTGTTCCCCATTACCCCACTCCCAGCCTTGGCCATCACTAGTCCACTTCTGGTCCCCAGGAATCTGCTTACTCTAGACTTGTCACAGAAATGGACTTACAGAGTAGCTACATACAGATTCTTATGTAAAACTTTTAAATAAAAGACTTTGGCTTCAAAATGGAAATTGCCAAATAGACACATAAACAAGTCCCACCAAAGGGTTATTATGGGCACTGAAGCAAGTCACCGAATCAGAACAAAGGTGAGGACTACAGCTGCAACACAATGCAAGAGGAAGGGACAAGAGGGTGGGAGCCAGCTGGAGTAGAGAGGTTTTGCTAAGGAATGGTGCACAGGCCCACATATATAACCTAAAACTAGAAGAGTCAAGTTAAGAATTCTAAGACATATTCAAAAGCATCAAAGGTAATCTAAAGAAAAAAAATTCAGCTAAAATGAAAATGACAAAACACATTTTCTCATTTTACATGGAGAAAGGTACAGAGGAGTGCTAGCAAGGGGACTTACAGGCAAAACCTTGCCACAAAAGCCTGACTACTTGAGCCCAATCCCCAGGACTCACATAACCACAGTGGAAGGGGAGGACCAATTCCCACAAATTGTGCTCTGATCTCTACCTGTGCTGTGGCCACATGCACCTATACTTACATACACATTCATACAAGAAAGTTTCCAAGGTGATAGAAAAATATAAGAGAACAAAAGAGAAGTAAAAGTAGACACCAAAAGCCAGGGCAGTCACAATATTTATTTCATATGCCAGAGGTGCTTAGACTTGAGTTTGCCAGATTACAAATAATCAGGATCAGTGGGCCCTGGTCCTGTCTTCCCGAGCAGGTGGCACCTGCTTACCAAAAGCTTCTGATGCACCTTACAGTAGGATGCACTGGACAGTCTACTTCCTGGCAGAGAGCATGTATCAGAGTGGAGAGAGAATTGTGAGCCCTAAGAGGATGGGGAGTTTGTGCCACACCAGTAAGGAACAGGAGGTAGAATTTGCATTGTGACTATAAAGCCACTGGTTTGGGATCTGAGCATCAGCTGTGTGAGTATGGGGGAGTTCATCTGGGCTGGAATGGGTTCTGGAGGAAGGAACTACAGGAAGAGCAATGCTTGGAGTATCAAAAGCCTGTTCAATATCTGGAGTATCTTGACCCCATATAGTATTGGGGCTTGTTTCTCATAATCACACTATCAAAGAATGTCCATCACTCTGGATGAAAGCAAAAGCCAGAATGTTATTTCATCACATCCAAGAAGCACTTATTTTCACATTTTAGTTTAGCTTATGTATGCTACTGAGGTTGAATGGGTAAATGCTGTCTTCAGCGGTGGGGCTCACCAGTATGCTCAGATGAAATGCTATCACATATTTAAGTCAATACTACACATTACTGGAATCCTAGTAAAGCGTTGTCTGCCATCAAGCCGTGGCTTAGCATAGAGACACACTACCATGCAGGCAGGGGGCACATTTGGTACTAGAAATGAACACACTTGACAACCACAAAAACCACAGACTTTATAAGATCTAAGAAGACAAGGATGATGTCTGAGACAGTTCATAGGATCATCAACTTGATGATTAAGGAAACAAGCCTCCAGGCAGAGCTGTGAAGGACTGACTACCTTGATGAGGTTAACTGAGATTGTTAGATGCCCTAATAAAGGGCAACAAATTTTCCTGGGCTTGGTGTCCTGCACTGCATAAAAAGGAGAAAGCTAATAGGGCACCAGCATTTGGTACACTGTTTCCTGCTACAGACGTAAGTGACCAGTTGCCTCAAGTCCTTGTCACCAGGACATCCTTGCCAAGATAGATCACACTCTCAAACCGGGAGCCAAAATAAGCTTTTTCTCCTTTAGGTTGCTTTTGTCAGAGTATTTTACCATGGTAACAGGAAGAATAAAACAATCCCTCATGCTGATGAAGAACATGAAGTTCAGATTCTGATACTCAAAGTAGTTAATTGGACAACCTACCACACAAAGGACAGCCAGCTGAAGGCAGAAGCCATGCAATCTCTAGGAAGGTTGAGTGTAGTGGTTTGAATGAAATGTCCTCCATAAGTCTCAGGCATCTGAATACTTGGTACCCACATGGTAGCTTAGGTGTGGCCTTGCTGGAAGAAGTATGTCACTGGCAGTCAGCTCTGAGGTTTCAAAACTGATGCCAGTTGGTGCTCTCTACTTCCTGCTGTGGTTCAAGATGTGAACTCTTCCGATGTTCCTGCTACACCCACCATCATGGACTCAACTCTCTGGAACATAAGCCCAATTAAATGCTTTCTTTTAT